TTGTAACTGACTACTGACACATGAAGATAAGTGCAAGATTCTCCGATACAACACAACATGCAACAAACAAATCACTCGTGATGAAGAAGCCTTGGAAGACGTTAAAGCCTTTACATGTCAGGGCAGCAGCATTGACAATCATGGTGGATTCGATTCAGATGTGAGGGCACCGATCGGCAAACAAGGGTTGCATTTCTACAAATGAAGAACATTTGGAACTCAAAACAACCATCAACCAACATCAAAGTCAGAATTTTCAATGCAACTTTCAGAGCAGTTCTTTTATATGGAGTGGAATGTTGTAGAATCACGAGAGTCATCACATTAGGGGTACAGGTATTTACATAAGGCATTCTGCGTAAGACACTGAAGATCTGTTGGCTAGACACCACCAGCAACAATCTACCCTGGGAGAGAATAAATCAGATTCCAGCGGAGGAAATCAGTAAGGAGCACTGGAAGTGAATAGGACACACTGCGGAAAGCACTCAACTGCGTTACAAGGCAAGCTCTCACTTGGAGCCCTCAAGGTCAAAGTAAAAGAGGAAGAATAAAGAACACATTACGTCGAGAAGCGGAGACACCAATGAGAAGAACGAATAAAAACTGGGCAGAACTGGAAGGGAAGGCTCAATACAGAATAGGTTGGAGAATACTAGTCGGTGGTTTATTTTCTTTAGGAACGGCAGTCATATGTAAGTATGTGGTTGCTGGTGGTGTCTAGCCAACAGATCTTCAGTGTCTTACGCAGAATGCCTTATGTAAATACCTGTACCCCTAATGTGATGACTCTCGTGATTCTACAACATTCCACTCCATATAAAAGAACTGCTCTGAAAGTTGCATTGAAAATTCTGACTTTGATGTTGGTTGATGGTTGTTTTGAGTTCCAAATGTTCTTCATTTGTAGAAATGCAACCCTTGTTTGCCGATCGGTGCCCTCACATCTGAATCGAATCCACCATGATTGTCAATGCTGCTGCCCTGACATGTGAAGGATTTACCACCTCCAAAGCATAATAATAACAATTTATTATCAAATAACAACGTATTACAACAGGTATGCCAATTTTCTGGCAACGTCAAAATGTTAAGATCTTTAGCACATTTTTTGGTAATACGTTTATCAGCGACTGAAATATTTTCTTATACTCCTTTGATTTCATGTCGACAGCTAAAATTTTTCAAATAAAATTATCGATAAATTTCCAGACTCTGCTATGTACAATGCAAATAATTGGCGCGAGTTACATTAGTTGCGTTGTGAACAGAAAATATTATTGATTAAAGCCGAACAATGACCCAGCAGATACTTTTTAAAATTAGAACACTATCTGTACACATGCACTTACCTAGGCTAATGAACATGAGTCACTAGTGAGATAACGAATGGGCAGCCATTCGCATGAATAGAGGAAATCAGGAAGAACCAAATTGTTAGCAATAATGTTGATGTACAGAATTTAACAATGAGGCATAGTGATCTGATGCTTTTGTGATATTTTATTTATTCTGTTTCTTTTTATCTATGTACTTCAAGAAGTCATGTTTGAGCTCTTGTTCAGTGTAATTGTCTAGATCTAGGATATCATGGTAGAAAGTTACAATCGGTGCGAGGTTACGAATGTGAGTCGTTGACCAGCTGAAGAGGAAAACTAACATCAATATTAATGAACTGTTTCATCCTGCTGTATCGTAAGGAGCCGCAAGCTAACAAGATGTTCTGCCCCACAGACATGAGTAGATTGAGGTCATCACCTTGCTGTCAAGAATGCTGGTCAGCTAAACTACCCACCTTCCTTTAGGCTCTCTTACGTTTAATAGTAGATTTTAAACCATGTTTTTTGGTCTACGCTCTATTTTTTTGTGCACCCTATCGGAAGACACCTTCTTTACCAGCTCCACGTTACACACATACCAGACAACTTTGGCTTCTGTATCTACGTAGCATGTCAAACTACTTTTAAGTAAAATAATGGTATAAACAGTAAGATATGTGTCGGTGAATAGGTAGTTTGGAAATAAGAAGGATATGGAGCAGCAGAAACAAGAAATTTTAAATTTATGTTGATAAATTAATAAGTAAAGAGATCAGTTGATAAGCAGTTGAGAAGTTTGGATGTTAATGAATTGGGGGAATAAAAAAATATTAAACTGTTTATACTTAAACAGGAAGGAACTCACGATGATTCAGGGAGTTTGCGTTCCTTGTAACTGACAGTAGTTGAGCAGCATCTGTGGGCTTTCCAATTTGTCTGTCTACTAGAAATAGAAACTAAAACTGCTGTGAAGATAAGAAAATAATGATTAGAATTTAAATTTTAGGAAAAGTCCAAATGTCACTGGTAGCACCTCAAAGGCGTAGCCTAGTACTGTTCGTAGCAGCAGCGGGATTAGTCTATCATTTCGTGATACCTGTTTGGATTGCAATGCGAGTCCACTATGTTCATAGTTTGTAATTAGTTTCGAAGGTCATCCTAAATGTTTGGTGGAACATAAAAGAGACTTTGTGTGAGTTCCGGGAATAGTCGATTAATGTCTTTCGAATCTAACAACAACATTACTAGTTTCTTGAACTTTGTGATTGTGTCACAGATACGCACAGTAGATGGCAATCTGTTCCACAATAGACTGTATCGTATTACAAAGAAATTACAACGCAATAACTTTTTGTGTTTTGCCGTTAATAGTGTATATGCGTTGTTTTGAAGTCTGTAAGCAGTGTTGTGGTTCATAATTGAGTGGTATTTTACGAACAAGAGACCACTTATCAGTTTATACAGAAGTATTAGGTTGTTTCTAAATATGTCCATGATATTCATGTTTGAAAAGATAAGTGGGTGTGTGACAGAACAGCCAGATCATCTGCAAAGTCCAAATCGACAAACTGCATCCTGACTGGCCGATTCGGTCTCGTGTGCTGTTACAGTTTCCACTTCCCGGCTGCCCACACAGTGGTATTCTTTGAGGAACCAGAAAAGGAAGGCAGATTAGTGTTGTTCTGAAAGACTTAGGTGCGTGACTGCAGAGCTCAAACGACAACTGCATGAGGCAGGTCACGCACGGCCTTTTAATGAGAGGTTTTTGAGTATTAATAATAATAATTATAAAAATAATAATAATAATATTAGCTCCGCTCTTGTTTAAAAGGCCTTATTAGGCAGCCCTTACTGTCGGAGACGGAAGTCCGTAAGGTAGGGTGAGGTGTGACATTTTTAGGGTCGACCTTTTCTAACCCTTCCTTCCTTGTGAGAAGGCAGCATCGCTGCAGATGCCGGTTGTCCGAATGAAACATCCTAATGTTTTCACACCTCTCTCTCTCTGCAGTCAGCAGTACGACTTCGCACTCAAAACCTGAGTAGCTGCTTTTAGTTTCATCGACAAAGTCCAGATCGTTCAATCGCATCCTGACTGACCATTGTATACCGTGCCTCCCTCCAGATGTTGACGTATTCATAATCCAGTCGATCACCAGGAGTAGGAGAAAGAGTGAGAGTGAGCAAACGTGCCTTACACCGGTCTTTACTTCGAACGAATCTGTCGGCTGTCCTCCTTGCACGATTCAGCAGTTGAATCCATCATAAGAATTCCGTATGATGTTGAATATCTTCTCAGGTACTACGTAGTGTCGAAGAAGCCTCCATAGTGTAGTCCTGTCCATTCTATCAAATGCTTACTCGATGCCCATGCTGATCATTTCCAACGTTCGTGGTCTATCAGTTCTACTTCGAGGTTGATGTCTTCGTCTCTGGTGTGGTCCATGCCAACCTTAACATTCAGGTCTACCATCAGAATTATCAAATCCTTTGATGAGCACCTCTCGAATATCGACTACAGTCTCTCGTAGAATTGATCTTCAACGTCTTCATTGTAATCGTTGATAGGAGCATAGCATTGAATGACGCTCATTGTTACGCCATCCTTCTTTGTTTTCAAGGATTCTTTGATCATCCAGGGTCCATAAGATTCACATCCTATCAGTGCATTTTCTGCTTGTTTCAACGGCATCAGTGCAACTCATTGTGTACGTGGAGCATTTTCTTCTTCATAGCTGGAGTATAACAGCAGCTCTCCAGAAGCTAACCTTAGTTGTCCAACCTGTGTCCGATGTGTTTCACTGGTTCCAAGCACTACCAGGTTGTATCATTTCATTTTCGCAACAACTTGGATGACTTTTCCGGTCCTCTTTATTGTTCGAACATTCCATGTACCTAAATCAATGGTTGCCCTGGTTGTGAGAATGGGAATTGGCCTCGTGACTTCTGAAGAAACTCGGTTCTCATCTTGAGACGTGATAACTGTTCTAAATGAAGACCTACTAACTCTTGGTGCAGAACTTAAATACTCTGAGTTATATTTTTGGGGTAGTGTTATTTTTGCGAGTCAGTTATCCGCGGGATGGGCTCGCCAACCCCATACTCAACCTTCCTCATCTATCTGATTTTGGGACTGACAAAAACCCTAGAAGGACTTTCAGTACTTAAAAGGAAGTGGCTATAACGAAAAAAGCATGAAGATTTTGATATGTAGAGCATCATAATAAAAATAACGAAACAACTAAACAGTATGACTTACTAGATAACTGTGGCATAAAAAAATTTTAATTCCGAAATAATGGTGGATTTATCGCCAAATTGTTACTATTACCTAGTATTATAATCATCTTCGCACTAATTCCAGGTGTGTTTCAGGCTAATCTGATTGTTTACATTTTCTGAAATTTACGTCCTCTTATTAGCGCAATATTTTTTTCTCGAGAAAACATCGCTGGCCGGATAATCTGATGGCCCTAGATATCTATAAATCATATTTCCTTGGGACTATCCTACCAATTCGGACGACGGAACATACAGATTCGTACGGAATAAGTGCTGTCAACCTGTTAGAATACCATCCACTGGACACAAACAGACTTATGAGGCCGTGGCTAACGAGCAAGAAGTGAGCTTAAAGGAATCGATTGGTTTATATTAGCGTCTGAAAAAGTTATTGTTAATTGAATTCATGGCTTAGTTTTAAACGTAGCGTTGCGGTACTAGATCTGTAATTCGTAACGCTTACTGGTTATCAATCTATGCACTCCTAGTTTCGCTTTCTTAATCCTTTGATTCTAAAGCTTATATGATTGCTAATTTTTTTTATTGCTAGTGCTTATATGAAATAGTGCATTTTGTACGATTTTGGGGACTTCGGCTATCCTCCTCTGTCCATTATCGTTATCCTTGCTCACGTTACTCTATATGCTCTTCTTGTGCACAGGACACTTGTCCAATACTCGTTACTTCATGAACTAAGATACTGTCCTTACTTAGCACCCGTCTCCTTACGAGAGCATTGCTTTCTCGGTGGTTCCAGGTCATTCTAGCAATGCTTCTAAGACATTTATAATCGAATACTAATAACCTACGAATGGTCATGTTTCGCATCCATATAGTAGGCTGGAGCTAAATACTGCACACTAGACTCGTCCTTAGGTTAGCAAACGGGTATCTCTTCTATGCTATAAGTGACGAAGTTTGGCGAAAGCCAGTCGAGACTTCTGTATCCGTGCTGAGATTTCGTCACACATCAGATCAACTAATTCACTCCTTATCGCTAGTTCAGATACATACGCAAGCAGATCTTGAAGCACCATTTTGCTTTTCGAGGAAGAAAACCGAATCCCTATCATGTTTGTATTGTTGCTTATGGTAGTCAGAAGACTGTGTTTTGTCAGTGTCTTGATCAAGTAGAACTATCTCATCAGGAAATTCTAATACACCAAGCGAGTCTCCTAAGAAGTGACGTATCTAAAATCATGTCAGTCACAAAGTTAAACGAGAGTGGAGAAAGTAGACAACCTTGATGAACATCATTTGTGGTAATGGCTTCCGAATACTGTTCCCCATAAACTCAGACGTAGGCAGTACTGCTTGAGTAGAGAGCTTCTATACACCTTTGAAAATGATAGACACCGTCATCCTCACGATCGACTTCGCCAGACGCTGCCCTAAGATCCTGGAATACAATTATTGTCGGACGCCTGATTGTGTTTCTGTGTTCTAGGACCTGAGGAAGTATGAATATCTGGTCTGTGCAGCCACGTCCAGGTCTGAAACCAGCTTAGTTATCTCGAGTCTCCTCTTCTTGAGCTTTAGTCAGGCGTCTATATATTATCAAGACTAACATAGAAACTATGTTAGTTAAGCCGATTCCTCTGTGGTTGTCACAAGAGAACTTTTGTCTTTTCTTATGGACCGGGACAATCAGTGATTGGGACCAGTCAGACGGGATTACGCCCAGTTCCCAGATTCCGCCTAAGATCTCAGTCAATCTAACTGTTAGAAATGGACTACCATCCTTAAAAATTTGAGGGGTTAACCTATCAGTGCCCGCTGCTCTCCGTCGCTTTAGATTTCCTATAGCCTTTCCAACTTTGTTAGGGATCGGAGGACCTACATCGATTCGCCATGTAAGTTGACTGGAGATCGTGGGTAAGCGAAGTGTGGCTGAAGGCCAGTTGAATTGATCCATGAAGTGTTCTGCCTATCGATCTAATCTACTGGATTGAAAATGAATCATAGTCTCACTAACAGTCGGATTTCGAATATCAGTTTGCTTGATAAATCTGAATAGTTTTCTACTGTTAACTATCGCCCCTGCCTTTTCCATCGTCCTTGCTTTCGGTACCCAGCACTGTTCGCGATCATTGCGTAGCTCTTTTGTCAGCCTGCACTTCGGCTTCCTCCGCTCTTAGTCATGTTCAGAGCCAGGTGGGATAAGTGTACAAACGTCTCTCAGTCCAGTAGATGCTACCGAAATCAACTACACTCTAACCCTATGGTTTATCTTACTAGCAGATATCACTGCCGCTTCCACAGCTTTTCGGATATGATTCCAAGCTGCTTACTTTTCTTCTAGTTGCCCATGAACTATATTCTTAAATTTGCTATCACTGAGTAGAACCATAAGAGGTTTCCTTGCAGTGTCCTTCCTCTGTCCAGTAAGACGCAAAGAAATACGTGTTCGTAGTATAGTATGATCTAAATCTAAACATGTGCTTTAGAACAAGCGACAGTCTTCTATCGAGCCTCTCCATCGGTGGCAGATATCCATGTGGTCTAGTCTGGTTCAGGGTTAGGACGACTTTGGTGGTCTACATGTCAACATAAGGCAGTTATCATACCGAATGAATTCAAAATCTTGGTGACTTGCAGCTTTCTCTTTTACTACACTACTTATCCTTTTTTATCAATAAAGTCATAGGACAGCCGCATTAATGTAATATTATGATTCTTTTACAGATTAAGGATGCAAGATAGTGTTTGTGAACGTTTTGTTCGACGTTACTTACTATCGAGGAATTTCAAAGATACACTAAATGCATTCGAAACGGAGTATTCCAAAGAAAAAAGTAGAGGGAAAGTAATTCGCTTTGGTCAATAATAGCGTGTCCAGTTTCAGCCATCGGACATTGTCGATCAACTTCAAGAAGCAATATACGACTCTAATTTAACTCAACTGACCAATCAGTGGAGCTTCTTAGAAAATACATTATTTCACCGGTTATCAGGTGATAAACAACTTGCTGCCAATGAACTCAAAGTGCATGTTTTTCGTACGTATTTGGTGCAGGCTAAAATAAAGAAACGTCAAGCTAAAATGACTGAGTTTTTTGAATTACTTTCTTCGCAGTTTCAGTTGGGAAGAGAAGAATGGCAAAGTTGGTGTGGTAAGTTTTAGTATTAGATTATTGAATTTGCACACAGCTTTGCCGTATGCAGCAGATCCTAAAATGCACCCGGAGTTTTTTATGTATTTTACAAAGTCTTGGATGGATGTGTTGATTTTGTCATTGACAAACTTCCTCTGTTTAATAAATTACTCTGAAAGTAACCAAAGCAGAGTATTTTTTGAGACAGAGTTTCCAAACCGAAAGACTAAAGTAAGTTTCAGCTTTGCTTATTGTTACTTCTATGCAAAGTTTGTAGTTAAAAACTATGATTAAAAAGCTCCTGTATATGCAGTAGGTATAATAATTCTAGTAATCTTATAAGTATGTTTCTGCTAGTTTGGACTTTATCTCTACTGCTTTTTTAGCACCTTTAGTTGTTCAATATGCTGCTCAGGGTCATAGAGACTGATGCAGCAGTATCTCTCTATCTTTAAGACTAATAGTGAGACGAATCATTAAAAAAATCGCAGTAAGAAATTATTCAAAACCAATCATTTGGTTTATGAGGTTCTAGTATTTACTCCAATGTTTGAATCTCTTAAACCATGATCCAGCATGTATCAAAAATAGCTAAGGGAATACGGTGGTGATAGAAGCATAATTTGTTAAGTAATATGTTAACTTATCAAAATATACTAAAAATCTGTTCCCCCCCTTTAAAAATATTATTTCCACAGCCAAGTACAAACGAAAAAACATCGACCTCAGGGAACCAACTACCATTTGGAGAGCCCCTTGATGATTTCAATGAACTGGGAACTATCCGAACACAATCAAAAATTTCGTGACCGTTTCACAGGTTCAGGGGTGTGTAACAAGTATAGCTTATGTTAATAACTTATTTTTGCTTTGCATGGTTCTTCATAGGCTGGCTGTTGAACATATTCAACTTAAACATTCCTGAATAATCATGAACGTTTGTATTTGACGGAGAAAACCTCTTCCTTACACAATTGATCTTTATTTGTGTAGTAGCTAAATACTTTTCCTAAAATTGAGCACTTATCTCAGATGGAGGAGGGCCTGTTTAATCCCCATAAACCTTTTGCATTAATTGTGTTTTGTTAATTTCTCTGACTTTTAAACCAAACTTTTCAGCTAAACCTATTCATTTGATATGTCCTTCGATTTTGCTACAATTAAAGATGTTATGCATCATTAATTCGATCTTCTCTTATATTTGTTCCGTACTTGCAACAGTCATTAAGATCTGACTGTTACATTAACTGGGGACAATCAAAGACGATAAAAAGTTGTCTGTTAAATGATCGACGAAGCGGAAATTCAAAGTATTTTACTGTAGTTTAAAGATGTATGAGTCATGAATATGAATCTATTGGTTAAAATGGCACTAAATTGTACTAGATAGCTTTAGATGTGTACATCTGTATCATATCAATTACAAACGTCATTCTGTTTGTTTTAACAAAATGCTTCTCAAATTAGATTTTTTTAAATTGAACACTATACATTTTAGCTTAGCTTTGTTAGGTTATAGGTACTTGAGTGCGATGCGCTAACATCACTGACCATTTGTTTCTACCCTAACAACTGAGCTCCACTACATTATATTGGTTGTTAAATAAGCTTTAAGGTCTCTACAAAACTGATGAAAATATTTCTTTATTGAAAAATATAGATACAAGAAATGTACACTCGTCATATTGCACAATTTTAATCAGCTAATTTGTCCTTCTACCATTGAATAACGATCAATGTCAGACAGTGGTTGCTTAACTCGTCCGGGAGTTGTTGGTTTCAGTTGATCCAAACGGAATTGATTGACTGTACTATTTCTGCTGCTTCGCTCCCATAGAATTGGTATTGTAGGATCTCTTGGAGGATGCAAAGGCGCAGTACCTGAACTTTCAGTCATAGTACGTATACGGCGTTTGTGAATGGAATCGGAAATATAAGTAATCTTCGGTTCGTTTTCGTGAGAACTTCCGTCATCAATTGATGTTTCATCTGTAATACGTGTATTGCATTCCATAGACTTCAGAAAAGTACTTAGAATACCTAGGTCGATACTGTAATACCTTGGTCTTAATAAACCACAAACACTAGGAGGTCGTACCATTGCTGTAAATGAATTGTCTTTATTGTCATATAATTCACTTAGAATACTAGTCATCTCATACCTGTTGCGTACTTGCAATCCCTCGTAATGTGGTGTGGCTATTGGTGTATTTGTGTACGCAGTAAATTGAGATTTGTCTTCAGTTTGGAACATACATAATTCATGGAAACTACGTTCGTACTCGGTTTCGGATTTATTATTCCCAGGATTCGATATGCGATTGGCGGACCCAAATCGACTAATAGGTGCTAAAACGAAGTAAAAAAATGAATTCATTGAAAAGGAGCACATAGTGAGACTGTCATGTAGCCTAACTAAGAGTCGAATGAGAGGTCACTTACTTAGTGAAGCCAGTTCATTATGTTCATATAGACTCTTTGGTGTCCCGTTCGCAGAAGCCATAATTGATTGGTATGGCTCAATCAGTTCATTCCAAACGCCACCCGCAGAAATTGGACTTAACATTCTAAGCTTATTTCCAGCGAATTCTGATGTATCCTCGGAAGTTAATGAGTGATTTATGTCCATATTAGCCATTACATCTACGGGACCTGAGTCACTTTTGAATTTTCGATACCTAAGACCCGTCGGCAAAAAGCAGTCTTCATCCCTAGTCGGCTGATCATAACCGGTAAAACCAAAAGGTTTTCTTGATATCCGAGTCTCCTTTTCTGAGTGAATATGTTGAGGCTGTTTTACACTTTCCTTTTCTGTAGCTGTGAAAACATCAGCAGCTTTATCACTGTTGAAGAAACAATTTTCATCCGGGGGAACAGTACTTGCCGCATTTATGTAATCACGTACATGAGAATAAGCCATGGACATAAGGGTAAGATTAGTTGCAACTTTAACTGCAAACAGTCTAAAAAGTAAAATATTTGAAATCATTGACAAGACTTATCGAGTTGAAATAAGTAAAACATGTCAGCACTTTAAACAATGTGGATTATGTTGTATCTCTAAACGTTGACCAATATCACGTGACAAATACAAAACACCGATTAGAATTATGTTTTAACATCAGGACCCGTGAGTCAGCTCTAAATCTTTATTGGTCTACAACTTGGTAGCTTCTTTCTTTCTATCCCACTTCTAAGTCCAGAAGCCCGTATCCGACCTCTATAAAATTTGTTGGGTTTCAAGCAGACATCGTGTATATACCAAACATGTCAGACCACGTCATATCAGAGCTCAAAAAAATACATTTATACATGAGCAAGCGAAAAGTGGCTGTGAATGATAATAACTCATAAATTAATCCTAGGAGTTACCATTTCTCCAATCTTCCTCTGAGTATAGCAGATTTCTTAGTTAAACTTACATTTGTTGGTATAAAGGAAATGCTTAAGAGTGTTAGGTATCTGATTGCAGTAAAACTTGATCTTGAGACGTTAAAGATTATCTATATTTCAGGGGGATGAATTTAGTGAAGTTTTGTCTCATAGAATGGGTTTATTCATTCAGGCTATCTAGTTGAGAGCACTCTACTTCATTAAACTCATTACGTTAGCTTGTTTTACTAAACCAAATTTGACTGTACGGACGACAATTATTTGTAACTAGCAGGTTAACTAACTAACTAACTTGCCGAAAAAACGCTAAAACGCAGCACGTCAACTTCATTTCGTTATTTGGAAACGAAACCAACTGAGCATAAGTATGACCCAGTTAAATTATCAAGACCGGCAACTGAGCGGTTGCGTAGAATTATAAGCCCACTATCTTCAAAAGAGCATGACTTGCACACTTTGAGTAAGATTTGTACCATATATATTCACAGCTGAAATCACAGATTGATCTTAGCTGGACCACTACCGGAAACTCGGAGGCACTGGATGACCACTTCGTCCTAGTACAAGACTCCTCCACACATGGGGTTGAACCCATGAGATTCGATCTCGCGCGCGAAAGTTTGGCCTCCAAATCACTTAGTCAGCACTCAACGGTGTTAATGCCTAGCTTCCCGCGTGCATAAGTTGTGGATACACACTGCTGAGGAGGCTAGATATTAGGACCGAACAGTCACCCAGTGCTTCCAGGTTTCCGATGGTCTAGTTAATGTTGGTTCGTGAATTCAACTGCTAAAATAATAAAATCTCCACAACCGCCCTCACCAATACATTATATATATAAACCAACATTTTAATCATTATGATGTGTTTAAATCGAAACACTACACTCCCTTAGTTGAGTTTCTTTTTAAGGTTGTATTAATGAGTCGTAAAATCACAAATAAAGCTAAAAAAGCTATTGTACAATAAGAAGTAGTATCATAGACATGTATTCACTGACCATAAAAATCTCTCATATGACTGAGTGATTGTAACTATTAGTTTAAAAACAAATTGAAATAAACAATGTCTTTCATTCATTATTTTTGCTACACATATAGTTAATGAAACAATAACAATCTATACTACAATGAAGATAAGATTTGCTAATCTGAAGTACTTTTTATTTGTCATTAACGTTTGTTTATCGTGTAACCACTTATTTCAAGCCTTTTTAACTTTGCTTCCCTCAAAGTTACAAAATGTTCTCCATATGATAGACATTTGCAATAGTTTATTTATTCTCTTGTCCTTTTTCGCATCTGTGCTGATGTGAGTTGATAATAGCTTAAAACTGAATTTATTTACGATTATACATGTATTCTCAGCTCACTTTGTAATCTTCGTTTTGTGAAATTATTGGTTTTGTAAGCAACTGACAAGATCCTAATCCAATATGATGAATTCGCATTACTCTGACAAGTGGACTGAGTCATGTTGGTAGATGTAGGCTGCCTGGTTGGGGTCCGCGAGACGAAAGTCACCAATAGTTAGAGACCTTGAATGACATGGCTCAAAATCGTTTGCAATAGCGCAAGTGCATCTATTCTTTGTGTTCTCTCAAATCCTAATATTCTGGATTGGTCAACACCTCTACCGTTGTCTTTCGAAACTTATCTCACTGAATTATACTTCTTCAATAATATTTTGGAACCCTAATCTTCTCCTTTACCAGTAGTATTTCTACTATCTCTACCACTATGGGATTTGAATTGACAATTGCGTCTCTGTGCTGATGTGGTATGGCAACATGAACTGATGTACTTACGTACGAAGTTCTACGTTGTAGCTGACTGACTGACTGCATTACTCTACTGTAATCTTTGTTTTTGTTGTTCAAGCTAATAAAGAGAACCATATGTATTGAACTTCACAGGATAGTACATAAATACGTATTACTACTCATAAAAGAATTATCATAAAAAACGGCATCAATAGATATTTATCAGGATATGTTTAACCTAAAATATTGAACATATTTATACTCCAACGTCTGGAACACGCTTAGGGTATTTTTAAAACTTTGAAACAATGACTTACATAGACACGACAAATGGCAAAGTAAGGCAAAGAGTGCTGGGATTCCTTATCGTTTGAAAGAGCATAGCATTAATTAAACAACTAAGGGGAATTGGAGTCAGACCCATACGACGTGAAAGAAGGTCGGAGTAATCTGATGTATTCTAAGAAATAAACGACGATTAGATAAAAGTCAGCACATTGTTTCTGTACTATACATAGGTATGATTAAAAACGCAACAAACAGAGTCCTAAAATATGTTTACTCTGGAATCATAGAATATCGGTTATTTACATTTTACATATAGCTTTCCACATGCATATTGGAGGTTAAGTTGCAGTTTATTATTTTTTGTTTTAAATACTTAAGACAACTGCTCAGCCTATGTTGGTATATAAGGTAGTTGAACGGATACTACGACATCGACTATATGCGTGAATTGATTATATTTTGAGTTAGTCATAAACATAATAAGACCCAGAGACAATGTTCACAGGTTGTCACAGTACAGATAAAGAGGAAGTTGACAAGTTGAGAAACCACTGTATCAACGGTAATAAGCCTAACTATATGAAATACGATATTTAAAAAAGAAATGAGAAGCTAGGTGCAATACTTAACTCAAGATATGTAGAAAGATGAAAATTGGATGTACTCGTGTTCACGCGACTAAGTTCGCGTCGTGTCATTGGCGTTCCACTCTTTAGTTTACGAAAATTTTGTCACCATCAATCAAAATACCTCTAACTATTATGGCCCAAACCAGAGATCAATATCTTCATATATTGTTATTGTGCATATTTCGGGAACCACCTAGTCTCTAGTTTTTACAGCATAATTCTAGTTGAGTCAACAGTGCGCACCAAAGTAGATGGTGGTTAAACATGTGTAATATACACCATAATACGGTCAATGAAAGATTTTAGTTGCATGAATTAACATGGAGTTTCCACCTAGCATAGATAACTCTAAATTTATATACTTTGTTTACTAACTAATTGTAATTTAAATGGTGTGGATTTCATTATTACTAGTAAAACTTATAAATTTGTTTGAAGTGTTGAAAGTTAAAGATTAGCTTGTTCGAATTGTTATTCAGCAAGGATATATCAGGTGGTAGATTAACACATAGTATACAAATAGTCGCGGAAAATTTCCCAAATCGATTATTCTGAAAGTAGTGGGTTTTCAATGACCAAAACGTAATCGAAGTCACGGTTCTGAAAACACTGCATGTGAGTAATGGGCGATTTACAAGAATACATTTATTATTTATTCAGTCATTACGAAATAGAACATTTAGTCTTATAGGTTTATCATTCTTGAAAACTGTCAGCTTGCCAAATAAACTTGGTGAGCATGATATCAAACAGCTTGAAATATTAAAACATCTTAGAAGTACCGAAACGACCTAACAAAATCTTCAATTCTCAGGACAACGAAATGTTCACTAACCTTTCCTTGATGGCATAATAATAGGTCATACGCAATGCTGACGGTATATTCTTCATAGACCTGCCGAAAAAATGACCATTATACAGATGTTTAACACATTTTCAAGAAATACAATGTATTATTTGTTCAAAATGAAGACGAATTTCATTAGAATAAAATAAATTTAGAAATGAATAGGCGGAGTTTATTTCATACAAAAGGATGATCAAAATGAATAACATTTGACTTGATTGAAATACACGGTTTACAGAAATTAGGCGGGAAGTTCAAACACTGATTAACTTGGTTTAAGTATAGCAAAATAACAATTGAGGCAGAATAACATGAATTCACTATATTTCATGGTTTTTCATCAGTTGCTTACAACCATTTGTGCATTAATACAGTATGTAATAACTGACATTGATCAAGGAAAAAACGAGGGTTATCAAAAATATATACAATCGCGTCAATGCCTAAATCTAATCAATCCACAACAGTGTGCGACCATCTCAGATCGGATGTCGACACAGTGGTTCGAAGCCTAAGAGTCCGCACACGAAACCAAATATATTTAATTCGATTTCCACGTGCAGGATCGTGGTTATGTATTGCTGAGAAGCCCCATATTAAGACGAAACGGAAGCCTAATGCTTCCAGGCTTTTAGTGGTTTACATTAAGCCGGTTTATGATTTCTATGAAATTTAGCAATCTCCATCATCCCTAACTTTCAATTACTAATTCTGGACAATCACCATCTCAGTGCTCTAAATCTACAGGACGATAACTAGTGTTAAGAGAAAAACCCAGCAGTTACCGAATAAAATACAAACGAGTTACTTTACGAGAAACAGTTTGTTTCTCAGCCAACTCAATTACAAGCACCAACTAATAAATTGGTTTAGAATTCACTTTAGATAACTGGTGTTATATTTTAAACATTGTGAGAATGTAGTCGGTATGCAACTAACTGCAATTTACCATATTTACAATTGGAGTCCTTTAGTTACAAACCGAATGAAGATGAGTTACACAGATGGAACGAATGAACTGATTACACATTTTAAGTTAACTAGTTTTATTAGTAGGAATAGCATAAAGTATACAGAAACTTCAATATTGTATTTCTAAAGTAATAAGTAAAATTACCATACCAATAATGAAAAGGAAATCATCAGAGTTATTTCATAATAACAGAATAAAACTCACATTTGAAGGAATCACATTAAATTTGGTAATGAACGAATGCTTTATCCAATCCACGGCAACTTCTGCCAGAAGAATATAAGTTACATCAATGAGAATTGTTTGAAGATCATCTATCAGAAAAAATGAGAATAGAATAGTCCTATTGAATGTAGCAATCAAAATAAATAAAATCAATTCATTCATCATAAATTTTTTTTTGCTATGATGATTTAATTCAAAATAATGATAATATCAATGTGCATTACGGGGTTGTGAAGATTGTTAAGTTATACATTTTTGAAACCATGAATCGATCAATGTTAGACCACCATTAGAAATCTGGGAGCCGTTTCGTCCTGGTATGGGACTCCTCAGCAGTGCGCATCCACGACTCTTGCACCCCGTAGGATTCGAACCCAGGACCTTCGGTATTGTGAGCGAACGCCTAACTATCAGACCACTGAGCCGGTATCTAACGGAGTCCAATACTAGGACGAAAATCATTGTGATTGTAGGTATGTATGGACTACAAAAGATGTCATCAATAGAGGAAGATCGTATTGCGTTTGAGATGAAGGGCCGGGGAGGGGGGGAAATAGAAATTTCAAGTGTACAATCACTTCTTAAAGATGTAAGTTTATGTTTCATCAATTAATTAAATAACGCGAAGTAATATCAGTGAAATGAAATAATCATTTTCGCTGAAACTAATTTTCTATTTATTTTATACATATGCAAAAATGTGAAATAAGTACACTTTGAATTAAAACTATAATAACCTTAAAAGAAATGATAATCTGTGTTCCATCTTAATGAAAACATCTTACAACAATACTCATTAAAAAGATCTATATGCTAAACATAATGTTAATTAATATTCACTGAATCAAGCAGAAATTCTATTCATTTCATAATAGTCAGGCATACCCCGTATCTAATAATCTCAAAAGTGGAATAGCATAAACGTACAAACAAAAAAATAATAATCATCATTTTTTTCTTTTAACCAATTAACTATTAAATGATGAACACCAATAATAAATGGTTTTGTTTATCTAGTTATATGAATCAATAAATTGAAAATATTTTCATTAAAAAACAAAGTAGTAATTAGTAATCAATTTCATTAACACTTTTTTTAAAAAAAAGTACAACCAACAACAACAAAATCACTATGAGATAGGAACTTGTGAATCAGACTAATGTAACTCAGAGAACAAAATCATGATGATGATAATAATAAAGGTATAATACGGCGAGAACAACTAATTTCACAATTGAAACCAGTATTTTATGCTTTTTATTTATTTCAAATAATATCAAAATGTGTTTAGTGTGTATGCATGTGGACGCTTAGTGTATATAATCGACTATTTACTGCTTTAACTCCGCCTGTAGACCCATCTGGGCTACTACCGGTCCCAGTCCCGCATAAAGGAGGAGGGTTGTGCATGGGGCTGGCGACCCCATCCCGTCATAAACCTAACTTGCCAAAAAAACGCTAACCAGAAAAAATAATTCAAACCATTTTAACTCTGCCCTGGGAGTTGGAAGAAGAATTATGACGTCTCGTGATGAAAGCCGAGTTCCTTCGGAAGTCACGGGGCCGATGCCTCTTCTGACAACCAAGGCAACCATTTTTTTAGTTACATGGAACGTTCGTACCTTGTGGGAGACTGGAAGACTATTTCAAGTCGCGGCAGAAATGAAAAGATACAACCTCGAGGTGCTCGGCATCAGTGAAACGCATTGGACACAGGTAGGACAACTGAGACTAGCTTCAGGGGAACTGCTGTTATACTCTGGTCATGAAGAGGAAAATGCTTCACATACACAAGGAGTTGCACTGATGCTGTCCAAACATGCACAAAAGGCACTGATAGGATGGGAATCTCATGGACCCAGGATCATTAAAGCATCCTTCAAAACAAACAAAGAGAACATTACGATGAACGTCATCCAATGTTATGCACCTACCAATGACTACAATGACGACGTTAAAGATCAATTCTACGAAAGGCTGCAGTCAATCGTCGACAGGTGCTCACCAAAGGATTTGACGATTTCAATGGGAGACCTAAATGCCAAGGTTGGAATGGACAACACTGGATATGAAGATATCATGGGACGACATCGACTAGGAGAAAGGAACGAAAACAGTGAGAGATTTGCAAACCTATGTGCCTTCAACAAACTGGTCATCGGTGGCACAATATTCCCGCACAAGCGCATATACAAAGCCACATGGATTTCACCGGACCACACTACTCAAAACCAAATTGACCATATCTGTATCAACAAAACGTTCAGAAGGACTATGGAGGATGTGAAAACCAAGGGGGGAGCTTACCACCACTTGCTGGTCGACAAAATAAAACTGAAACTCAAGAAGCACTGGATAACGGGGTAGACAACTTCACACAAGTTTAATACAGCCTTTCTTCGGAATACCGTAAAACTCAACGAATTCAAGATAGCCCTCTCCAATAGGTTCCAGGCCCTGCACGATATACTCAGTGAAGAGGGAGCAACATTGGAAAACAATCGGAAAGGGATCAAGGAGGCAATCACTTTAACATGTCACGAAGTTCTGGGTCACAAGAAGTACCATCACAAAGATTGGATCTCTGTTGGTACTCTTGAAACAATTGAAGAGAGGAGGAACAAGTGGACAGAAATCAATGTCGAACAAGAGCAGAGAAGTCCAAGGCACAAGCTGAATACACAAAAGCAAACACGAAAGTGAAGAGGAGCATCAGAGCCGACAAACGGAAATATGTGCAACAGAAGGAAACATGAAACAATTGTACGAAACAATAAAGAAGCTCGCTGGAAACTATCGTAAAGCAGAACGACCAGTGAAAAGTAAAGAAGGCAAAATAATCGGCAACACTGAAGAACAGCGAAATAGGTGGGTAGAGCACTTTAAGGAACTATTGAATCGACCAGCTCCACTGAACCCACCCAACATCGAAGCAGCATCCACGGAACTCCCAAATAATATCGGCGCACCTACAATTGACGAGATCAGTGTGGCCATCAGACAAATCAAGAGTGGCAAAGCAGCAGGACCAGACAACGTCCCAGCAGAGGCAATGAAGGCAGATGTAGAAGCAACTGCGAAAATATTTCACATTCTCTTCAAGAAGATTTGGGATGAGGAACAAGTACCATCAGATTGGAAAGAAGGATACCTCATCAAAATACCAAAGAAAGGCGATCTCAGCAAGTGTGAGAACTACACAGCCATCACTCCTCTCCCAATACCACGCAAAGTCTTCAACAGAGTATTGTTAAACAGAATGAAGGACTTCGTAGACGCCCAACTTCGAGATCAACAGGCCGGATTTCGTAAGGATCGATCGTGTACTGACCAAATTGCTACATTACGGATCATTGTGGAACAATCAATTGAATGGAACTCACCGCTGTACATCAACTTCATCGACTACGAGAAAGCATTCAATAGCGTGGATAGGAAAACGCAACAAATGCAAGAGAAGATGACCAGTGTAGCAGCAGCCTCTGAGCAGCAGGTCTCAACATAAATAAAGGAAAAAGCAAAGTTCTGCGATGCAACACAACATGCACCAGCCAAATCACTCTTGATGGAGATGCCTTGGAGGACGTAAAAACCTCTGCATATCTTGGCAGCATCATCGACAACCACGGTGGATCCGATGCAGATGCGAGGGCGCGGGTCGGAAAAAGAAGGGCTGCATTTCTACAATTTAAAAATATCTGGAACTCCAAACAAATATCAATCAACACCGAAATCAGGATTTTCAATACAAATGTCAAGACAGTTCTACTGTATGGAGCGGAAACTTGGAGAACTACCAAAGCCATTATCCAGAAGATGCAAGTGCTTATTAACAGTTGTCTACGCAAAATACTTCGGATTCGTTGGCCAGACACGATCAGCAACAACGTACTGTGGGAGAGAACAAATCAGGAAGAGGCGGTGGAAGTGGATAGGACACACACTACGAAAAGTACCTAACTGCGTGTCAAGACAAGCCCTCACATGGAACCCTCAGGGCAAAAGGAAAAGAGGAAGGCCAAGGAACACATTACGCCGAGAAATAGAGAAAGATATGAGAAGAATGAACAAAAATTGGACAGAATTGGAAAGGGAAGCCCAGGACAGAGTTGGTTGGAGAAAACTGGTGGGCGACCTATGCTCCACTGAGGGTAACAGGCGTAAGTAAGTAATTTGCTGCTTTGCATATTGAATAAAAAGATGAAGCATGACAAAATTACTTTTTATCTTTCTTTCATCAATCACAATGATGAAGACTGGACATGAATGGAAATGAGTATGAATGACGCAGGTTTTCCTCTGCTGAGCCAACAACAGCATAGTAAATAAATCAGTAATTTTAAAGATTTTAATGTTAGCATACCAGTAGTCTGTTCAATAAGTGTATGTATCAAAGTAAACCACACTTTTGATTAAATTTAAGGCCATTTGCTCAAATAAAGCACTGAAAACAATTCACTTCATATGAATCACGATTTCAAGATTAAGACAACTTTTAATTATCTATATTGATGAAAACAGGATATAATGTGAGGTCAGTGATTTTTCCCAAATGATTTCTGACAGTGGATTTAGAAGAAATGGATACGCATAGGATTTTATCAAAATATTTAGGATTTCGATACAATGAGGTAGCTGAAGGCGACAACTTCTGAAAACTTCCAACAGTGCTTTGAACAACAAAAGTGAGGAAAATGTATTGGCACAAGTTTCTTAAACTGCGAAGAGGATTGATTGATTTGCTCTAAATTCTATGAAATGAAGTATTCACGATCTAATTTATTGTATGTATCCAATAAACACGAAAAGCATAAACTAACTATTTCATTCTCTGAAAATCTAATAACACTATCGAAAGCATCATATTTTTTAATTTTCTTCACAATTTTCACCTCAAACTGATAAGGATTACATGATGTAGTATGCTTTAAAATCGTGTAAATAGTCTAAAATTGGGTAATAGAATTTAAAATATAATTATTCACAGTTTAATAAATGAATTAATTGAAAGAATATCATTTTCATAATTTATAAATATACATAATCCATATATAATTATTCATTATTTAAATTTTTTAAATTTATCTTTCTTTACCTAAATTCCATCCACTGTCATTCATATTACGGCATACAATAATAGAAAACCAAATACAATAATGAAATCGTTCACGAACATCAGCACAGGCAATTTGAAATAAATTTGTTTTTCCCATTTTACGAAATACATTACCTTTTAATTCAACAAACTATTCAAATTAAAACATAAAACATAAGAAAAACAAAATAATATAACTGTTCATCTGTTATGATATTCAAGTTTGAAAGATAAATTTAGTGCATTTATCGGTAAGAATATCAAGTCGTGTTTCATTTGGATTTAATTTCAGCTTAAAAGTTAAGCTGAGAGTCAACATTTAAATGTAATGACTTCATCAAATTATTTCTTTCGCACAAGTGTGCTCAACAGGTAAAAGGAATAAACTGATGATTGGCTAATGAGGGAAACTTTCCTCAAATTGTTTTAATTTATCTAAATCAATTTAACATTAATGTCCATCTGTAAAATATTTTCTGTATCATCCTTTCTATAATAATAAATACCTTACGGAAATAAATATAAATTAATGATTACTGGTTCAGTAGTTTAAAGGTATTGTATTCGTTGTTGTTTTCGATTTCTGAAACGTTTGTGGATGAATACTTTTGAGAAATTCCGGAATGAAATAAAGCTGTTATTCAGTACTTCTTGGTTTTTACTAGTTTTTTGGTTGAATTTAGACTGTGACAGAAACTACTTTAGAATTGAAAAATCATCATAAACAACTCACGATAAAAAATTATGAATTAGGTCGACGACAATTTCTTGTCACCAATTGATATAAACTGAAGAACTGGTAAAAAAAGTACTAAACAGCGCTACACGGTACTAACTCAGAACTCGTCAAAAGTTATGGCTTACAATCCCACATTGAATCAACCTCAGAACGATCATGTGATTCAATTAAGGAGAACAATATCGCTGTGGACAAGGTTGAAACCCAACGATAGACATTTATTTAATACAACTTGAGGGGAGATTTATCTAGAAATGAGTTATTATAGGGAAAATGTTGGAATTTACATGAACTATATGTTTTGAAGTATCCATAGTATAATTTATTAAAGTTATTTGAGATAAATGACACACACGAAATGAAAGAGAAACGGTAGAAAAAGAAAAGTAACATTTTCATATTTAAAAAGTGATTTCTTTTTACAAGTCTAAAAACCTAGAAAAATTGGATTTATTTGAGTAAAATAAGGTAACTTAACATCACCAAGAATGACCTATTAACGGAACAATGAAACAAGCTAACAACATGATGGTATTTTACAATAAACATATTTTTTCAGGCTTTCCATTTTCACTATCAACTAAATAAAATAAAACGGCAAGGTATATTGGAAACTCACATTGTTTGAAATAAACACAGTGATCAATGATTTGTTTTGTGAATTAAATGCCACGTTTAAAGTAGTAACTTGACATAACAGAAGGAAGCAGTGGGCTACTGTAATTGTGATATTAAGGAAACAATGAAACACAATTACAAAATACGACACAAATAACCAAAAAAATGAAATAAATATAAAGAAATTGTTTTATCTAAAAAGAACAGAAAAACTATTGAATCAAACAGTAATGAGGTCTAATTAATAACAATACAATGCATAGGAATCATGGTTGAACAGGGCTGTGTTGTTTAATGAAAGATTGGAGTAATACAATCAGAAACTGACGAACTAGCTACTAGTCCAACCTAAACATTACGTAGGATTTTAACGATTTCATAAGACTTGATAACAAACCATACAGTTACAACACTGATACTATTAGCACCACCAGAATAAGCAGTTAACAGAAATAAATTAATCGAGAACAATCACGGTACTTTTGATCGCATTAACACAAACTTTTGTTAGACAGCATGAATTCACTCAATCAGAGTAAAATTATGGCTGTCCGACCAACGTTCATCATGGCACGAAGAAGTGGAGATGATACTTTCAAATATAGTGATTTCCATCGCATTGGGGTACTAGTAGGCGGGTCGTCAAAAAGAGATAGAACATACACATTATTTATCGTTGACCTACATTGAATGCACTAACTAACATAAACTAGTCAAGCAGTGGAAAGCTGTGATTTCTAAATTTGTGGTCTTTCTAAATTAAAGAAAAATAAACTATTTAACATTAATCTTGTACTAACACGAGTTACAAGCTACAGTGTTTTAGTGGAAGATCTCTTGATATGTAAACTTCAAATAGAATGAAAGTGAAACAATTCACGAGTGTAACTCATTCGATTAGATTTAATTGACAACTTATTTCAGATTGATATAGCATAAAGTCACTTTTACTTACAGTGAAAAGATTTGATACGTTGGTATCTGGTTCACACTACAAATGTCCTATTCTAATTTCAATGGTTCATTGCTTTAAATCAACTACCATGAACAAGTTGTAAAAAACTATGCATTAAAGATTGAATACTTACAATAAACAATTGCAATTACTTACTGAGACAAAAGAAAGCAAAACAGTATTGTAGAACAACATCACGCCAAAAAATGAAACTATTTTCTTCGAAATCATTCGTTAAAACTGAATCAGATCGTGGTTTACTGACTGTGAATAGTAAATCATCCAACGCATCTTGACAGACAGCAGATAACAAACGATCTGCAACCTAAAACAAGAGAGTGAAATCTTATGAATAAATCCAAAAACCATAAATCTCCATAAATGATAACAGTTCCCTCAAATTAATTAACCATTGAATTGTAAAAATGTCACAATATGCGATACTGATTTGTTTCAGTAAGCTTTTCAGTAATGTTAGTGACTGTAACGTCAAATACTATAGGTGCTAAATCTATGAATTAATGTTCTGTCAACCCTATCACACTTTTATCATTAAGGTACAGATTTGGATGATTGTCAGGTCGCGTAAATAACTATTCGGGAGCAGTTGAAACTATCGAATTACATTTAATTCAATCTGCACAATACTACACTTTTATTAATGTTAGGCAATAGGTTAGGAAAGTAATAAATAAAATTAAATGTCTGGTCGATCATCACTTTAGACTTTTATAATATGAAAGTAGCTTTATTTAAAATCATAACCGCAAATTAGTATGAATTATCAAGCTGTTAAGATGATCACAAGAATGCTGTTCCACAGCAGTATCTTCCGTTGCCAGTTCCAGATTATCTGTTAACCATCCTAAACTGTAGAAACCGCTTTGCTAAACTGGACTTAGCTGAAGACTATCTACAAGTGAAAGTCAAATTTTTGTCGAGGTTTATTTTAGTATAATCTACTACCTTTTCAAGTGAATGCGCCATTGATAGTCCAACAACCAATAGATATCATCTTAGTCACGATGACATGTGTAGCCACTTATTTAGATTATATATTTATAGTAGCAACATCATGAAAAGAGTTGCATGACCGAAATACGGCTGTGCTGAACCTCATAAAAGAACGTGGTTGCCGGTTAAGATCAGAAAAATGTCAACTCTATTTACGGTCTACGAAGTACCTAAGATTTAGCACTGTAGGCTCGTGCTGAACACAAACAGATGGAGAGAGAGAATTATATATGTAGAAATGCAAAATAATCTTCAGAAAACTAGTATTTTATTGTAATTATACTGGTGTATCTCCCATGCAGTTGATTTTGTAAGTACAAACGTTGTTCAAGAGAACGAAGACACACTGCAGCACACACGAAGCACAAAAAACAAAGAAAAATATCTAATGACTATCTTCCAAAAGAATGGCTATTTACGCGACTTCATCAAAAAATATCAGCTGAAACCATCAACAGAAACGAAATCAAGCACAGCAACCGACAAACGGATCATCCTAACACACAGAAAATACATCGGAAATTACAGCATGACTACTGAGACCATTTGGAATAGGTGTGGCTCACAAACCAACAGAACCACATCAATCAATCCTATGTAGACCAAAGGACAAAATGACAAATGAAGATACACAAAATATCATCCACAAAATAAATTGCTTAGATTGTGAAAAACACTAAATAGGACAAAGTGGACGTCCTCTTCAGCTTCGTTTACGTGAACATCAATTAGCAGTCAAACGCCACGATAATTCGTCGCTTATATCAATACATATGGACAATTTTGGACATACATTCGATTGGAGAAATATGGAAATACTAGATAGGGGGAGTATAAAGAAGACTAGAGAATTTTTAGAAGCTTGGCAGTCAGATCAATCAGTGACTAAAAAACACGTAAACGTTGGCCCAATTTATGCACCAATAAGAAAACTCATAGATGTCATAGCATTAAGGAACAGATGAAAGGGGGATACAATCAAAACAAAGGTGCAGACAACGACAGCTTTAAGGTCAATAGCAACCAATCAAGGTCGAGGTTAACAGATCAAGCTACAAGTCAAACGTGGAGAAATTCGAATACATCACTTCTATCTGAAGCTCGAGGTAATGATGTTGTTCAGACGAACAATGAAAGCTACAAAACCGAAACATCCAGTTCAGAGAACGAAACTCCACCACAAGCTAAACTTACTCAGGAAGAAAAGGTGATGCACTCAGTGAGTTGGACAAGCTAAGTGATAAGTGGGATAAGCTGAAGGGTAGAAGCTATTAATCACGATTTGGCATAACTTTCTGAAGAAATAAATATGCATTATTAGTTGAAGATGTAAATTAATTATTTGGGGGACAAATATTTATATTTAGGAATGAGTTATGCACACATTTTCCATTCGATTTTGTTAATAAAAGCTTTCTATCAACTTTTCGTTTTCTCATTCTTATAGTTAGTTGCTTTCGTGTATAGGTAAAATAAATATCAGTGACAGAGTCGGAGGACCACAGAACATAACAAAAGCTTCGTATAAAGCAACATAATCATGATGAAAATCTAGTCTTCTTTTCCTACATCTCTGAATGAAAATATTTCATCGAAATTAAATGACATATACATAGAACACACTCACCTCGAGTAAATTGAAAAAGATATAAATCTTTATCACCGATTGTGTTCTTATCTCATGATAAGCCATGGAACTGTCATATTTTGTTAAAATAACAGTACATATGCACAATAAAGAAAATTTGATCAGATCACGTAGTTCATAATTATACAGTAAATTTAACCGAGAAATCTTCGATAAAGGTGCATCACTAAAAGAAGTAAACAAATCAAACCTAGTATGCAAATAAAGTTCAATACATTTAACATTAACATAATTCGAAATTTATTAACCAACATAGGCGAGAATAGTAATAACATTCAAAAATCTAAGAAACGAAAGAGAGAGCAGCAATATTAAAGGAAACAGACTGGGAGTGACTGATGTCATCTCCTTCAACTGCTGACTCAAATCACGTGGCGATACCACCGATCAGAGTTTCAATTTCTATGACTTAATCCCTCTGGTTTGAACAATTACACGTCCAACCGGCACTAGTAATCTTGAGTCAGCTGCTAAGTCCATATTTGTCTACAATTCCGTAGCTTCTCCATTTCCCTTTCCCTTCAGTACAGAAGACAGTAATCAGCCTGCGCTACCTTATATTTCAAGCAGAAGTAGTTTATATACAAACATACCAGACAACACTACACCATAAAATGAAAAATAACAATAACATATGATCACGCCAAATGCGGCTGTGAGGAGGGGGGACTTGAAAAATAAACTAGCAACAGATTAAGAATAGCAAGTTGTAGTCTAGTTTATCATAGTTACACAATAAGAATATAGAAAATAATCCATAAATTAGTACTGGGAGTGAGCATCCCTTCAATTTTTGTCCTGATATAACAATTTTGGATGAACGTATCCTTTGAAAAAATCAAAATGTAACCCAATTATTATCAAGTACAGATTCTTGGAACCCACCATGAGACATTGTTATCATGCTCTGATTTCTCTCAATATAAGATACCCAGACAGTCTTATTCTTTCATACTTCAAACCAAGAACAAGTGATTAGCCAGATTACAAAGTGTATGTATTAGTCAACGAGCAGCAGATCATTTATATTCATGCAAAGGGTACAAAATATATGTGCCACATCAAATACTAGTTTATCTAGGTAAATAATCGATTAGAATTTCCCTTTGCTCCCACTAAAGATACTTTTTCTGCATAGGGAATAATGATATTGTAGCATCTCATTATTCTAGAGGCTCACGACTGGATTCCAGTGTGGATGAATGATCTAGTATGTGATTAAATAAATCTTCTTTCCCACTTCCATATATCATACTTAGGCTAACCTCGTTTGTACGACGGCGGTAGTGAGAAGCCAAAGTGTTGCGGATGAATTTATTTCATGTATCCGCTTATGCAGACAGACATGAGAATAGGATGCGTACAAGGAAAACGAAGCGAATTGGCGAGTGAGCTCACTCTTCATGAGCTGAAGAATGACTAAGTATTTATAGTCAAGCAATAATAGGCTAGACATATTATCAGCAATAGAGCATCCACACACAACCAAATATACCATAGTCGATGCTGTAATCGAATCATTACACATACAAAATTATGGTCGATACAATTATCGAATAATTTGAATAACAAAGCATTGAAGTACAACGAATGAATGGTGAAATGCTACAGTATAATTCAGCCTATCAAACTGAAATAGGTGTAGAGGGACTCAGACATGTGACCTAGTGGTTGAAAGTCATGCACCTTTACTACTTAGCAACACCCACTTTAGACTCCATCGTAACGTTAGAGTTATTGTACAGTCTCGGGTCTAAAATGCATCACCCAACCGTAGCTGCTACTTTGACGTGGTGGTTGGGCTTGCCTATCGTGATGACCGAACCGAGCTATATTGACTGGAACATATGTTCCTGAAGGTTCTACCATACCAGGCAGGTCGATTGGAGGACGATGAGACCAAAATCAGCTACTCAAGGTCTGAGGGTGAAGTCGTACTGCTGACTGCAGAGGGGTATGACAGCAGTAAGGTGTTTCCCTCGGACAACCAGCATCTGCAGCGATGCTGCCTTCTCACAAGGAAAGAAGGGTTAGAAAAGGTCAACCCTAAAAATGTCACACCTCACCCTACCTCACAAATTTCCGTCTCCGGTGGCAAGGCCTTTTAAACAAAAATGGAGCTAACACTTTAAATACTATCCATAAAAAGGCCTTCTGTTACAGATCTCAAGCAACTATCGCTTGGGCTCTGCGGTCACGCTCTCAGGTCATTAAGACCAACGCTAACCTACCTTCCTTTTCAGGTTCCTCAAGAAACAACAACTGCCCTCATAACAGCACTCAGGACCAAATCGGTCACAATCAAATCCTTCCTACACCCCCTAACATCTCCCTTATCTGCACGACTAACTCTGCTCAAATTCCTTTATCACCCAGCACCACTAATGCGAACGATACGAGTTCACGAAACGTTATTCCTGGTCTCCTGAAACCTCGTTCTAAATTACATGTTGAAGCTTTTAATGTACGGACATTGTGTCAAATAGGGCAACAGGCTTCCTTAGCTAGGACATTATAATCTCGCTCAACCGATGTATGCTGCGTCTCGGAAACGCGCATACGGGATCCTAGGAAAGTCATTACTCTGATTTCACCTTGTGAAAATAGAGAAGCAACTCGATTTACTCTTCGAGTATCCGGTAGCCCCGATGCTGCTGCCCGGGGTCTTGCTGCCGTATGTAGAGCATTGAGTTCTAGAGCAGAACTAGCTCTCCTAGACTCGATTCCAGAAGACAGTTGCTTGTGCGCTGTCCAACTGAACGGGACAGTAAGGATTCAGAAAGACAGGGACACTCTCCGTTGCCTCTTCGCTGTCTCCGCCGACGCTCCCGCTGACTGCAGCTCACACGTGGTTAAAGATGGGTTTTAAAGAAAGCTTTCGGGCCTCCTCTAGAAATTCAGGCGCTCTAACGTAGTAATAATGGCTGGTGACTTCAATGCTCAAGTAGGTAGACTACGTGAAAAGGAAAGACAGCTTGGTGGATCTTATGGTGTCGCGGCTTATAGAACAGATAATGGCGACCGTCTGCTAAAGATGTGGTCAGATAATCGCCTATTCCTAGCAAACACTAAATTTAAGCATAAGGAAAAACATCTTTTGACCTGGCGACCCCCAAAGTCTTCTCAACGTTGGACACAACTAGATCACATCGCCATCAGCTACCGATTGAGGGGTTCGATAGTGGACTGTCCCTCGTTTTGGGCCACATGTTTATAATTAGATCATGCCCTACTGCGAGCGCGAATTTATTTGCGCCTTACTGGACACAAGAAAAATATCACAAAGAAACCGCTTAGGGTTCTACCTAATGATAATAAAGCTAAGAATATATTTCAGGAACAACCAGAAAAACAGTTAGGCGACCATGTAAGCGATTCCCATCCGGAGGCAGGTTGGAATGATATCAAAAAGGCTATGGAAACAGCACTGATATCTGCTAGTAAGGTGAACCATAAGGTTAGGTAGAAGCCGTGGATCTCTGTAGTATCTTCCGAACTGACGGATGCTCTAAAACTCATCCCACCTGGCTCTCAACATGATGAAGAACGAAGTCAGCTTAAGCGCAGGCTGATAAAAAGCCTGCGCAATGATCGAGAACAGTGGTGGGTAGCTGCTTTTAGTCTTATCGTTCTCCAATCAACCTGCTTGGTATGGTAGAACCTTCAGGAACATATGTTCCAGCCAATATAGCTCGGTCGGGTCATCACGATACGCAAGCCCGACCATCACTTCAAGGTAGCAGCTACGGTCGGTAACGCTGTAGTGTAAATGTACATAGTAAAATCATGAACTTAGAAACCATCATACACTAAATACTTCAATTAGTGTACATCTATTAACGAATATATAAGAATAAAAATCATTCAATAATATAGATGTATTTCAGATCGAAAAAGAAAAAAACTTACCGATATTGGTTAAAAGATGTGAAAAATTGGAATATTCCACTGAATATTCTTATTATCAACTTTAAGATCGTGAGAAGACAACGTAATGGAAGAAATGTATAAATAACCAACAAATGATCCAAACACTGCAACATACCGTATACCATAAACTAAGTGAATAGAATGAAAAGTTATGCTAAAAGATGATGTATTGTTTTATTAAAAACAGCAATATACATTATGAAAGGTAAAATGTGAAGAACTGAACAACATGAAATCATTTTACATAAAAAGAAATAGAGATATTTATGATTAACTGGACTACATTTGAAATCTTCGCTATGTTATTCTCGGTCAGTCAGTCAGTCAGCTACAATGTAGATTTTCGTACGCACGTACATCAATTCAAGTTGCCATACCACATTAGCACACACAGATGCAATTGTCAATGCAATATCAGTAGTACGGGTTTAACGATAATCGAAAAGATATAAAGGTTCAAACATATGCTTATAGAAGCATAATCCAGTGAGGTAAATTCAAAAAAGAGAAACAAAGGCCACGAGAAATTCACGAGGTTAGAATTTGGAGAAGACAAAGAATGGATGCATCTGCGCCATTCTAATCGATTTTGAGCCATCTCATTCAAAGTCTCTATAACCAATGGTTACAACTGCTGCGTGGACCCCTACGTCAGCCTGGTTGTAAATGATATATCATACGAATCTTTAAGAGGTCAATATTAAATGTCTCATTAAAGCATCGATGTTTGGCGACTCTTCGTGTCTAGTCATACTTATCTTTTTAAGGCGATCGGAATACGGTAGCAACAGAGCGCAAGTAGTCGCAAGGTTTGAGTATATGTTCGGATATCTAATGACGATAAGTCAATTCGTGAGGTAATCTTGAAGTTCCCGCTCTGATGGCTTAGACGTCACCTACAAAAGTTTCTTTAATGTGAGTACAGAAGTATACTAAACAGAATATGACGTAAAATCCATAGTAGTAAGGCATTTGTAATTTCCGATCGGTGAGAGGAATTACAATAATTAACAATGAAAAAAGCTGAAAATTAAGACCAAACGAAGAATATATAAAGCATCTGACTAACAAATACCCACTGAAGATACACAAATTAATGCACTCTTATTACACCAACCACAATTTCGAACGTCACAAAGGAAAAGTGATAAAAATTTGAACGAAATAAAATGCAAAATGGAATATATCAAAGCATTTTTTCCGGGAAAGGAAACCACATCAGACTAAAACTATAGAACACAAAACAGGACAATTGACACTTTTATTTCATGAGCTGATGTACCTACACCCTGAATGAATCATCCTAAATTAATGTGAAGGATCAAACAAACTTAAAACCCAGAATAAACACAAATCTATTTGAAATTTTTCAGTAAAGCATAAGAATGCATCTTATGTGATGATATTTTCAATCACAACTAAATGTGCATAACTGATATGCTCGCCAATTGATATGCTTGAATGCTATTACGAGTTCACCATACTCAGTAAACGGAACAAAGGTCAACGATACAGTGACACGATAGGCTATTCTAATCCGTTTGACCCAAGCCATGTTAACAAAAGCAAGAAATCTCGACCAGGAGTAGAGAATGTATTCTACAAGCACCCAGAAAATACGAGGTTGCTAAGCAGACAAATTGTAAACTACACAACTATCGAGATATTTTTGATTGACTGATCGTCACCAGAAAAAAATCTATAAAATATCATACTAAAAATAAATTTTACAAATGAAAAAAATCATTTTTACATTCGACTTATTCATCATTCATGTGTCATGAAAACTAGAAAAATATAAGTTTTATATATATATATATATATATATATATATATATATATATAAGTTATTTTGGCAAACTGTTGAAGAAGTCTTACAAACTAACTTATGAAAGAAAAGTGATCTATTCAATAAAAATGTATCTTATACTAAATCAAATTAATTCTCTCTTATTTCCTTTCCTACGTTTTACATCTTGCTTACATAATTGTGTCAGGTCTTTCTGTCTAATGACTAGCTGTAGTAAACGTTGTGTTACAGCTTTGATGATAAGAAAAACAATCCAAGGTTTATTAAGCTTTCACTGTATTTTTCAACAAATACATTGTGGTACATATGTACACTAGTGTCTAACATGTATGTTCTTCATTTTGATAAGCCTGAAAAATGAAGAGTACAAATACTTCAGAATGATTAAGGTTGTTTTTCTAACCATCGAGGCTACATACAATGTTTTCTACATCCAGTTAAAAAAGGAGGCCTAAAATAAATGTGTACTAGTTTATGTGGTCAAATTTGTAGATCAGCATACAGAGTAGAAATTAATAAAATAAGTGCAGTATTAATTAATGATTATACTTAACCTGAAGCTAAGGTTTATAATAATAAAGAGTTGTAAAAATGACGATTAGTGAAAAATAATCAATCTTAAGTAAACTACCGATTCTAAATATCGAGGGATCGTGATAAATGTATACGCACGATTGGTAAATGGACCATTTTTGCTTGTACCATCTTCATATTGTTTTTTTCTTATCGACTGAACAACCTCTTCCTTTAAATAACGAGTAAATTTGAAATCTGTGATTGGAAATAGAAGGGTGAATATGCTTTTATTTGAACTGCAGTAATATCAAGTGAATATGAAGAGTTGAGAATAATTCTGTTTATACATATAATTCATGCGTTCATGTTACATAAAAAAATGCAAGTTCTCTACTGACCATTATCCAATAAGTCCCATCTTGATATTGATCAACCATTTTTTTTATCTAGGTAATAATAACATAACTACTGAAATTAAAACTAGGTATTGAGCACCTAAACAGCATTTCAGTTGTTTCATTTCATCAACAATTATGTGGATTTGATCCGTTTTCTTCTTCAGTAACTTGCCAATAACAGTGTTGCGAAGGCTGTCACCAGGGGCGGAAAATTTAAATAACTACGTAACCGTTAGCTACAATTATGTCCAGTAAGCCAATACCTTGTCCTCATTAAATCTTAAAAGACAAAGACCTCAGTCAGCTACAATGTAGATCTTCGTACGCACGTACATCAATTCAAGTTGCCATACCACATTAGCACACACAGATGCAATTGTCAATGCAATAACAGTAGTACGGGTTGTAGAAGTATTAACGATAATCGAAAAGATATAAAGGTTCAAACATATGCTTATAGAAGCATAATCCAGTGAGGTAAATTCAAAAAAGAGAAACAAAGGCCACGAGAAATTCACGAGGTTAGAATTTGGAGAAGACAAAGAATGGATGCATCTGTGCCATTCTAAGCGATTTTGAACCATGTCATTCAAGATCTCTAACCATCGGTTACCATTGTCTCGTGGATCCCAACCAGATGGTTTACATCTACCAACATGACTTGGAGCAGTTGTTAGTGACACCATGGATTTGTTTGGCCGCTCTTTAACATTTTCCCAGCCCACTCCTACATCGAAAAATCACCGCTCGTCGGGGAAGTCGGTGGTTGTGCATTCGTAACGGATGTCCCAAACACATCAACTGTTGAAGATTCACCACTTCATGAACTGAAATGCCATCCTTACCTAGTACCCGTTTCCTTACAAAAGCGTTGCTTACTCGGCAGTCCCAGGATATTCGAGCAATGGTCCGACAACACCTATGAACGATTTTTAATACCCCACTGATATCTTCCACTCCTAGTCGCCGTGTTTCACACCTGTATAGTAGGACGGAGCGAACTTATGCACAGTAAACTCGTCCTGTGGTTAACAGACGGATATCTTGCCTACTCCGTAAGCGATGCAAGTTGGCTATAGCTAGTCGGGCCTGATGTACCTGTGCTGAGAATACGTCAGACACCAGGCCATCAGCACTGAGACTCCGAAGACAAGTGAACTGGTCAACACACTTAGCTATCCCACTCCCTATCACTAGTTCGGATGTCGACGCAAACTAATCCTGAAGCAACGTCTTGCATTTCGAGGGGAGGGTGGCATCCCGAACATGATTGTATTATTGCTTAAGGTGATCAGCAGACTGGATTTTGTCTGAGTATTTACCAAGTTGGACTATCTCATCGGCACATTGTTAGTCAGCAAGCGTGTCTCGTGGTAGAAGGTCCGCCGCTGAAAAGTCAGACGAAGAAAATGTTAACTCTAAAAGCATGTCAGTCACAAAGTTAAACAAGAATGGAGAAAGTCAGTCAGTCAGTTGCAACGTAGAACTTCGTACTTATGTACATAAGTTCATGTTGCCATACCACATTAGCACAGAAACGCAAATGTCAAATCAAATCCCATAATGGTAGAGATAGTAGAGGTATTAATGGTAATGAAGAAGACTAGGGTTTGAAGATATTATTCAAGAAATATAATTCAGTGAGATAAGGTTAGAAAGACAAAGGTAGAGGTGCTGACGATTCCAGAAGATTAGGATTTGAGAGAGCTCAACGAATGGATGCACTTGCGCCACTGCAAACGATTTTGAACCATGTCATTCAAGGTCTGTAACCATCGGTGAGTTTCGTCTCGCAGACCCCAACCAGTTAGCCTACATCTGCCAAAATGACTCAGTCTACTGGTCAGTGTCTTCATGCATTTCTGCCATGTTTTGGTCTGGCCGCCCCTAACTTTCTTCCAATCTACTCCTACACTGCGAAACATAGCTCTTCGCGGCAGTCGGTGGTTAGCCATACGTAACACATGTCCCAACCACCTCAACTGATGAAGTTTCATTACTTCGTCTATTGATCTGCCATCCTCACCTAGAACTCGATTCCTAACGACAGCATTGCTTACTCGGTTGTCCCATGATATACGAGCAATGCTTCGAAGACACCTATGATCGAAAACCAATAACCGACGAGTATCTTCTACTCTCATTGGCCATGTTTCACAGCCATAAAGTAAGACGGAGCGAACCACTGCGCAGTACACTCGTCCTTTAGTCAGCAAACGGATATCTCGCCTACGCCATAAGTGATGCAGGTTGGCAAAAGCCAATCGAGCCTTCTGTATCCGAGCTGAGATTTCGTCAGTCACCAGGCTATCAGCGCTGATGAAGCTCCCCAGGTAAGTGAAGCGGTCTACACGTTCGACTACTTCACTTCCTATCACTAGTTCAGGTGCCGATGCAACCCAATCCTGAAGCAACATTTTGCATTTCGAAGGGGAGAACCGCATCTCAAACATGTTTGCATTGTTGTTTAGGGTGGTCAGAAGACTGCATTTTGTCAGCGTCTTCACCGAATAGAACTATGTCATCGGCATATTCTAGATAAGTAAGCGATTTTCCTGGTAGAAGTTCAACCCCTGAAAAATCTGACGAGCTTAATGTTAACTCTAAAAGCATATCAACGACAAAGTTAAACAAGAATGGAGAGAGTGGACAGCCCTGACGGACACCACTTAATGTAGAGAATTCAGATGACAGTTCGCCATATGCTCTCACCCGACCAGTAGTGTTCGAGTAGAGAGCTTGTATAAGGTTAATGTACTTCTCTGATACACCTTTCAATGACAGCCTTGACTAACGCAACTTGAAGAGAAGGGCCTAATGTTGGTTGACATTTTAGACATCTCATCAGAAGCAAGTTACATTCGAATTTATGATAGTATTTATAGATCTGCGTGATCTTCCTTGTTTGTAGGAACCTAGTGAACTGGGTACACCATATGTGAATGGTAAGACTTAACTAAAATCTAATAAAATTTGATACTTCAAACCATGAACACGATGAAGACGTATTATCATAATTTTTAAATGATAAACGGATTTTATTTCAGCAAAATTAAGAGGAAACACTGAAGATGCTGTTCTATAAGCTAACTCAAATAACGGTTTCTCTTTTATTTCTATTTCAAACTAACGAATTTTTCCAATAAATGAAAGGTTATTATCTTCAAACTGTAGAGTACACTTTATCAGATTCTCACGTGACAGAAGGTAGCTAAGTTAACTACTCGTTATGAAGCTTCTGAAATAGTCAAGAAACTAATGAGTGTTTATGCTACAGATATGATTAGTCTCTGTTTAGTTCAAACTAGAGAATTGAGACAGAATCAATTAACACACTGCTAGAACTTTAGTTTTGTAGTGAAAGATTCAGCCAGCAATATTATGGGTTGACCTGTTTGAATTCAGCTGTTAGAACCTAACTAATTGGTTAGATTTCACATGAGATCCAGGATACAAACTGCTGAGATGTTTGATTTTAACATCAAAACGGATAATAATTGTTTAGATTACATAAGTCCACAGTATTTTGTGCATACTTTAAACAAATCATTGCAAAGACACTGACGCATTTTAGTGACATACTTTTAAAGGGATCATGAACCTCCCAATCACCATCGGATTCAGATGGCTGTTGAACAAACTCGCTGAACATCTGAGTAGTAATTCAGTTTGGCTATGCTACCTGGTAAAAAAGAAAGAGAATTTAGTTGAGTAATTTGCTGCTTTTATGAGTAGACTATGCACAACTCATGAACGCCAAATTAGGATTTTTATATCAACAAAATTTCGACTTTTTGTAGAAAACCAGTTATTCTTCAAAACATCCTCCGCTCTATTATATTGAGAGGAACGAAGTTCTAAATATAATTTGAGGAGTCAAAAATTTTAATGGAGATGAAACAGTCATCTACAAAAAGATATTCGATTGGTGATATCTAACCCCATAAAAAGCGACCATGGTATGGATTACAAATCATTTTGTTTAAAACCTTTGTTGACTTAAACGTATGGTGAGCTGTACACTAACAGAATCACAGAAAGAATATAAGGAGCTCGATCAAGCTCACGTACACCAGAATTATAAATAGTACAAGGCAATGGGTTTCGACCATATATGTAGATATAAAAGTGTATTGAGTGGTTAACACCAACGTTCATATATTATAGGACTGTTGAATGAGAAATGCGTACCCCAGACGTGTTTCAACAAAGAGCACGGAGAAAAGATTGACAATCTCAAACCAACTCAACCAAGTGGAACAGCACCAGGCTTCTACGTACGTTTCACATAATAAATATCTCATTCCTAAAATATTAGTCTTCAGTCAAAGCTGTCGCGAATTCGCAATATTAAACTATTTGAATACTGTAGTATAGGCTCAGTAATTAACATCTAATTTGGATGAGCTGATGGCAACAAATTTATTGTTATTTCACTCAATAAACAGCTAAGATACACCAGTAAGCAAGCCTTTACCAGATTACGTACACTATCTATTTTTCAACACCATCTCGTATTTTTACTGTTTAATTTATTATTCTATCCTTGGCCAACTATTTGTTTCTGTTATTTAGTCAACTTAAAATAAAAAAACCAAAGTATCAGATCCTGTGCTACTCTGGTAAGCAAAAAGCAAGGGGTAACTTTTACACCGAAATCGGAGATTAGAACGTGTAAAACAACATCGAGTTCAAGACTTGAAGATATGTGAAAAATGGATTGTCTGAGTCACTGTGTATAATTTTAAGTTTTATCAGTCTCAAAGTATACATTATGACCAAATCACAAACAACAACAAGGTCTATGCCGGTATACACAACCAAAATAAACAAACAGACTGCATAAATTATATTTTAGACTAGCCAGTCCTACGATAATAGCGAGAATAGAGCACTAAGGTGACAGTAATATATATCATGGTCAACAGTCAAAACAGAAGATTCACTATACTTACCTGTTGGTTTGCGAAGAATTGCTTACTTGGTGGTTTCATTCTACTCAAGCTATAGTTCTGACTACCAGGATCAATAAACAATAACTCTTGCAAAGGAAATACTACGTTGTAGAAGAATAACATAACAGAATGTTGTACAGTATTTTCGACCTAGTTAGGAACACAGGTAGTGTCGTTCAAGGGAAAATCAAATGGACATTCTTTGTCCCTGAGACTTCGGCAACAATAAACCGATGAGCATGATGACACCAAATAAAAGTGAAATTACGTTCAGTTAGCTATTATGTTCATAAACTAGATATCCATGCACGACAGCCCAGAAGCCACACTTTGCTTTGAGGAAAACGTAAGTTAAACATCCTTATTGTTGATACTTCAGGTGTTTATGAAACTGCATGATTTCAAGATCTTTATCTAACAAGGACATGTTATCTACCTAGACTGAGTCAACAAGAGTGCATGTAAAAGATCTTCCAATAAGAAACCGGATAATTTACGTCGCTTCCAAGAGTGAATCAAAAACAAAAGTGAAATATTCTGGTCTACACGGGCGCTACTCAACGTAGCGAATTAAAGTAATACTTAACTATAAGCCTTGAACGAGTAGCACTTCAGTAAATTGCTGACGCACTGATAGAGTCAAACGCCACTTCCAAGTGACCTGTTGAATAATGACGTCATCAATGCATTCATGATCAGGGACAGAGCTTATATGGTTGCCCTGACTTTCGAATTATTATGAAAGTCAAAGTCTTAGTAACTATATTAGTTAAATTTATTCCTATGTATTTTGAACAAGAAAATCGCTATCACCTCTTAAAGAAATGCAGTCTCCTATTCTGGTTCCAATTGTTTTAAGCATCCGGATGGCACATCGGAAAACCGAAGACAGTCAGTCAATCAATCGCAAGGTAGAACCCAGTGTACACATTAGTTCAAGTGGTCATACCTCACTAGCCCAGAGATGAGATTTGTTGGGGAAAACCTCAGAGTAGCAGGGGAAGTAACATTACTGACGGTAATAGAAAAGGTCAGATATTGAAGATACGAAATGTAAATTAGTGAAAAAAAGGCTATGAATTTAGAAGCTTAGGATCTGAGGGAAGACGAATGAATGTATCTGGGTCACTGCAAACGATTTTGAACCATGCCGTCCAACTTAGGTATGCAAATTTTTGTAATATCAGACAAATATCGATAGACATACTGAAGCTGGTTTGAAAGAGAAAGCGGAACATGTATGACAATTGATGAGACCTCAGAAAGTGAAACTAACAAAAATCTGATACATCAAAATCTTAGACTACATCTGTTCCAAACAATTTTGACTAGTAAATAATGATAAGAACTAAACACAGTCCAGTTGTTTTTAGTTTTGATCCAATCCAAGTGCACAGAATATAGTGCAGCCTGAATAACTAATAGTGAAATATTTCGAATCAGTAGTCTAAATAATTCATACTAAAAATTAGAAAGAATTATTAAGTTTACCACTAACAATCACGAGCCCCAGCAAAAATAAAAAATAAGCAGTTAAAACATGTATTTTAGTCAGATGTTACAAGCCAAACAAAAATCGTCGTGAAAACGTTTGTTAATTGTTCATTACTGGCCAGCTTGGTTTCTAAGTAGTACATAAACCTGCTCTTTGATCCAATTTTTATGATGTGGAACGTATGTATATGTAGATTCATGAAAAACCAGACAACTAAGATCAGCTAGCTGATCAATAAACTGAAAAAGTTGGGAGATATCATACGTAATGGTAGGAGCATTAGGTTTTTCACGTTTAAGCTGCTCCTCATAGATCTTGCATACACCCTCCAAACACTGCTCTACAGTTTCATAATCAGACCAGGTACGAGTATCTGGTTTTTTGACAGAAGGCTGTACGAGTAATATTGTGTGAGGCATCTTGAGACCTAAAGTAAAATAAAGTGGTCAGAAGAAATTTCCCTCTAAAGGAAAAATGAAAAGTTCAGTCAAGTTTTTATCAGTATATTTATAAACTAAAGAAGTACATAAGTTAGGTAAGTTAAACTGTTGAAAAATATTTAAAAAAAACATTTTGCAATATCTTTTATATCTGGAAGTTACAGTAAATACACTATAATTACGAGATTTTTATCCGGACCATACTAGTTCAGCTGGAAACGCCAGTGATCGTAAACAGCGCAACCCTGAGTGACAGTAACCCAAGGCGGTAATCTCGATATAAAGTCTAAGAGTGGAGAAGAGCGGGTAAAGACTTCTTCATCAATATACAGGCCAGCAGCAGCTATATCGATGTAACTCGATTGTGGTAGTATATCCTGGAGTTCAAAAACAACCCAAAATGTCCACGGTGTTTCCCACAAAACGCCGTGATTCCCAAACGCTGCCGCATTCAAGTGATATAAAAAATAATGTTCACCTTTGTTGCTTGGAATCTCTTTCAATGATGGAGGAAGTGGCATAGATGAAGGATACAAAGCAGTTGATGTAAAAGACCATTCAGTTAACTTAGTATGATTCCCATCCGTACGAATTAAGATATGAGTATGGGGAGGACCGGAAACTACAGAAAATGTAACGTTGCAACCCAAGCGACCATTTGGTAGGTAATCCGTTAACAATGTGCGTGACAACAATTTCAGCCCGACATTTGGTTTTATTTTGTGAAACTCAGCAGGAACACGATAAATATGTTTGAGAACATGAAGGAGAGGATAAACAGAAGCCACACCACAATAAGGTTGACTGTAATTGCACTCCACTGGTTTTGCTTCAACAAGCTCTTTGATACCTTTGTAGTTTAATTGCATGTGCTCTTCTGGATTCATAAACAGTCTAAGTGCTGATACAGGGTAAGAATTAGGTGTCAGGTAGCGAATACCATTTACATCAATAGGAACAACCAACATATGACTTTCTTTCTCCGTGACTTCGGGTGAATCTGGAATATGCCGAAGATATCTGTTAGTATGAAAAACAGCTAACCGTTGATACCTTGGGCTGACACGAGGGTCTGGAAAATTTGGAGATGGCTGGACACTATATGGGAAGCCATAGTTTGACACATGAATGAGGATTGTATATGATAAGCAAGCATTTAATAACATTAAGCACAGATACTTGCTTCCAGTTTTGGAAGTGCACTGTAATCGTCCTAGCGATGGGAGCATCACAGGCAACATGATGACAAACATACAACAAGAAATGAATACATCTGGTTTAATCACATGACCCGAACGTCCCATAACCGGTATTATAAAATTCAGAAACAAATTAAAGTTGTAATTATGCATTGAAAGAATAACTATGAATGAAATAATACGAACAGTCTGACAGAATTTAAGTTTGATTGGTGAGCTCTTCCGGATGTCAGATATCTTGAGCATAAGTGCAAATACAACCCACAATGTGTAAATGTACGAAGAAGGGGCATTAATTGAAGACATTAAAAATGAATGAAGTATTAGCAAAAGTGCACTAGAATCAAAAAAGTCCGTTTCTAACAAATAGAGATTATCCAAATTATTTCGCTGCCATATTTTTGAAAAGTAATTGGAAATGCCAAGAAACGTAAATACAGAACCTTCAGGTATTTTGAATAAGTAAGTCTGAGACCATGCAAACCACCAGATTACTGGTAGGACAAACATACCCATAATATTGTAATGATTTGAATACCAAACCATTCTGCAACCGTAATGATGGTACGAAAATCCAAGTACGACTGAAAAGGTGAAGCCCAGTAGTACGGTAACTACTTGTATTAATAAAGCAACACCGAAACCATACCACCGAACGAGAACAAGTTTTCTAGCTTTAAATATCAGACAGCACAAAAGTAAGCACAAAAGATGATTAAAAATTTTCCATACCCCCCATGGAACAATAATCATAAAGAAACCAAACAAATCGAAATAAACGTGCCGAATAGTTGCCGATGTGGTGACGAGTGGGGGGACACTCTTCATACCTAGCTGTGAACCCGATGCTGAAGCACTCTTTAATGTATCTGATGTATAATTTATCGGAGTCAGCTTGGTAAAAGCTTGTATCCTGTCATCTTTGGCAATTGACTCAACAAACCTTAGTATATTGTCTCCTGACAGTTGAAGACAACGATCGGAAATACGAGACTCTGTATCATAAGGAGTGTGATAAACGTACGCGTCTTGCATATATGCAAGATCTAACCCTGGAACACGCCCATAGTCACGAAATATCCTGTAGTCTGTGTCCGATGGCACTAATCCGAACTGGAACACATCTTCTCCCAAAACGCTGGCGAACGGCTGTTTGAAGGAACGTTTATAAGCTTCTAGTAAAATATCTGATGAATGCCCCGGACCAGTTTGGAAAAGCAAGTGACGTTTAGCAGAACCCGCTCCTTCCAAATTCATAAAAGCGACGACGTCAGCAGCCCACTTGTGTTGCGTTATAAAAGCATGGCTGCTAAGCAACAGGCTCTCTTCAGCTCCGTTGAAAAGAAATATAAGATCATTGAAAAGAGTAAACGCACCCGTCGCTAATATACGACAAACCTCTAGCATAACAGCACAATTGACAAACGCATCACTAGCACCAGGGCTTCCAGGGGCTGTATCGTAATGACAGTTGATTAGAAATGCTGATTTGCTCTGGTTACCATTTTTAGCACGCATGTCATGAAAACGAAGAACGAAGTTTCGGACATTATTGTATGAAGATGTATGGAAAAACGCCCGGAAACTCGAATAGGTGGACACATGTTCATCGTACAAAACTAGCAGATCTGCCTTGTTAGCAACAGATGAAATTGATTTTAATTCATTCCGGAGATAGTCAGCAGCAGCAACTTCATTAGCCAAGGATCCCGCAGTTCGAGGACCAAAGCTAGTAACCTTGGTAAGATGTGACCTGGCAGACACCACATCGAAAGACGTACTGCATGAAGAATCTGAACAATGCCAACAATCACTACTATCGTCACAAATAATAATGTAAGCTAAGAAAAATGTTGCCAACGAACCCAACCAAAACAGGAGATTATATGGACGGCCAGTGAATTTATCGGATATAGTATCTTCGGAATTGTCATCACATGCATGTTTTGAAAATTCTACAGCCGATGAACCGTCATCTTGTATAGTCTTCAGATTTCTTCGTCGGACTCCACTCATCAGATTAACCAAATGAGCCGACTCCCCGCGAAGCCACACATTCTCATAAATCGCGCTTTCTATCTTCAATAAGTATAATGCAGTAGGAACTTTCGTATATTTCAAAGTAGTTTTGAAATGGTCTTTGGGTAGTTGAACTCGGTAACTATAACCAATCATTTTCAGTCTATGATAGCATCTTTATAGTTCTCATGTGCATTAAAGCGGTGCAGAATTTCAATAAGGAAATTCCCAAGCCTTTCAACATAGTTAAGAAGTCATATACTTAACTTACTGAGATCTGATCCCTGGCTGTAGAAGAGGATCTTTGTTTCGTAGCCAGTAGATTCCACATCTTACAGATACTAATCACGAGGGATTTCATACTCACTCTTTGACGTACGCTTTTGAATATGTTTTCTTTTCCGGACGCTTCATTTAACTTCTCCAGAAGAGTAAAGATATCCGTAGCACCTAAATTTTCTCTTCAAGAAGAAGGCTGTCCGAATGTTATGGATTTCAGCAATCATTGTTGCCTTGGAAAAAACAATTCGAAAAGTGTTTCAAGTACTTTAATTCACGGTATTCTGGTCAAATGATTGAAAGCTATACTTTATCTGACATGCACTTCATTTATAAACGAGTAATATGACGAACGATGCTTCTGAAAACCTTGGTGCAGTCCAAGAGACTTACGTTTAAGTAACCGTCGCATGGGTTACACTACTCGCAACTTGACAAATAAGCAGCATGCAGTGGAATGTTGCCCAGAAGTTACTATTCAAGTAACGAGTTTTGGATCAGCATGTATGGCGCGATCAAAGTGTTTCGAAGACTAGAAGACCGATGAAAAAAGACAGACGGGAATCTGTTTATTTTAGAAGTGAAGTGTGGAGGCAAGATGTACACAACTGACCAGTTAACTGAATCACTAATTCCATATGCTCTTAATGTCTTCGTTCATTACAGTTGGACTGGTAGTCACGTTTGCACTATGCTATCTTTCTGCAACGAATTACTTTTACTACAGAATTTTCGAAGACACTCAATAGCATTATTTCGTGACCCTTTCTTCGGTTAGAAATAAACAGTGTCTATGGCTGTAGCCTTCCACCATCTTATCGAGCTTGCTGCTTGTCTGAAAGTAGAATTCCCTCAACATACTGACAATTAAGAATACGTTAGTGATACAAACCAGATTGTCGAATTCTTTCAAATATTTGAGTTAGATTCCATTTAAGCCTAAGAGTAGGTTGTTTTAATGGTCACCGAATCTGTTCACTTTGTAAGGCTTGCATCTAATCATGATTACGACATTCAAGAAGGTTTATGAGTATGTGTCACCCGATATATATTTCGTCTAAAGTGGTGAAATGAGAATTCTTTAGCCAGCTGCCCAAATCCTCATCAGCGGTTAAATGCTATAAGAATGCTGTCTACTGTTCGTTCAATCCATTTATTAACTCAGCCAGGATAAACTCAAAACGGAAGAGATTCATTTTTTGATGCACGAACCTATAACTTCCAGCATAAAGTTATGAGAAATAAAATGCTTACCAAAATATTAGGAGTGAATGGGCACTTTAACTACGGTGTCCAAATCCTGTTAAGAGGTACATAGTTTTCTTTTACCAATTCAACTCTGATTTTACATCATTCTCCTAGAACTGACTTCCTTATGAAGTTTGGTCAGATCAGTTTTTAAAAACCAAGGCATGTCAGTTTAGCGTCGCCAGAAAAAAGAAGTCAGTTTAATGGAAAACCACTGTAACTGGTTCAGTGTTTGACCCTAACACACCTAAAATTATTATTTAATCTCACCGACACATTACTCAGAAATATTAAACTGATGTCACATATTTCCCTAGTGAATTATTGTCTTACTAACATTTAACGTTTTCATTGGAATTATTGTTGTACATCTCCACGATACATAAATTAGAGCAGCTAAGAGAAAAGGTTACAAATCAGAACAAACATTTAAAACAGTTAGTCCCTTTCATAAATTTTGATAGAACAGTGAGAAGACGTAATTGATCTGAAAAATGTGATGTATTTGCGCTATACATTTCGAACAATATGGTCACACATATTTACTTGTCAAGGCATTTTATATGAAGATTAATAAAAGGTCAATTGAATAAAAGTTTGAATAGACATAAGGTGATAATTGTAAATAAAGGAGGGATAAAATTAACATAATTTGAATCGTAATATACTTACTTACTTACGCCTGTTACTCCCAATGGAGCATAGGCCGCCCACCAGTTTTCTCCAACCAACTCTGTCCTGGGTTTACCTTTCCAATTCTGTCCAATTTTTGTTCATTATTCTCATGTCTTTCTCTATTTCTCGGCGTAGTGTGTTCCTTGGCCTTCCTCTTTTACTTTTGCCTTGAGGGTTACAACTGAGGGCTTGTCTTGTGATGCAGTTGGGTGCTTTTCGTAATGTGTGTCCTATCCACTTCCACCGCTTCTCTCTGATTTCCAACTCCGCTGGAATCTGGTTTGTTTTCTCTCACAGTACGTTGTTGCTGATCGTGTCTGGCCAACAAATACGAAGTATTTTGCGAAGACAACTGTTAACGAATACTTGTATCTTCTGGATGATGGCTTTGGTAGTTCTCCATGTTTCCGCTCCATACAGTAGAACTGCCTTCACATTTGTATTGAAAACCCTGATTTTGATGTTCATTGATATTTGTTTGGAGTTCCGTATATTTTTAAATTGTAGAAATGCAGCCCTTCTTTTGTCGATCCGCGCCTTCACAACTGCATCGCGTCCACCTTGATTGTCTATGATGGTGCCCATGCGTTGACGTCCTCCAAGGCATCTCCATCAAGAGTGATTTGGTTGGTGCATGTTGTGTTGCATCGGAGAATTTTGCTTTTTCCTTTATTTATGTTGAGACCTGCTGCTACACTGGCCGCCTTCTCTTGCATTTGTTGTTGCGTGTGCGATAGAAGAGCCAGGTCATCTGCGAGGTCCAGATCATCCAGCTGTGTCCTAGCTGTCCAATTAATACCGTGCTTCCCTCCAGTCGTTGACGTCTTCATAATCCAGTCGATCACCAGGAGTAAAATAAAGGGTGAGAGTAAGCAACCTTGCTTGACATCGGTCTTCACCTCGAAGGAGTCTGTTAACTGTCCTCCGTGCACGATTTTGCAGTTGAATCCATCATAAGAATTCGTATGATGTTAACTATTTTCTCAGGCACACCGTGGTGTCGAAGAAGCCTCCACAGTGTTTTCCTATCCATGTTATCGAACGCCTTCTCGTAGTCGATGAAGTTGATGTAGAGTGGTGAGTTCCATTCAATTGATTGCTACACAATGATCAGTAATGTTGCAATTCGGTCAGTACACGATCGATCCTTACGAAATCCGGCCCGTTGATCTCGAAGTCGGACGTCTACGAAGTCCTTCATTCTGTTTAACAATACGCTGTTGAAGACTTCGCCTGGTATTGAAAGAAGATTGATGCCTGTGTAGTTCTGACACTTGCTGAGATCGCCTTTCTTTGGTATTTTGATCAGGTCTCCTTCTTTCCAACCTGATGGTACTTGTTCCTCATCCCAAATCTTCTTGAAGAGGTTGTGAAATATTTTCGCAGTTGCTTCTACATCTGCCTTCATTGCCTCTGCTGGAACGTTGTCTGGTCCTGCTGCTTTGCCACTCTTGATTTGTCTGATGGCCATACTGATCTCGTCAATTGTAGGTGCGCCGATATCATTTGGGAGGTCCGTAGATGCTGCTTCGATGTTGGGTGGGTTCAGTGGAGCTGGTCGATTCAGGAGTTCCTTAAAGTGTTCAATCCACCTATTTCGCTGTTCTTCAGTGTTGCCGATTATTTTGCCTTCTTTACTTTTCACTGGTCGTTCAGGTTTACGATAGTTTCCAGCGAGCTTCTTTATTGTTTCGTACAATTGTCTCATGTTTCCTTCTGTTTCACATATTTCCGTTTGTCGGCTCTGATGCTCCTCTTCACTTTCGTGTTTGCTTTTGTGTATTCAGCTTGTGCCTTGGATTTCTCTGCTCTTGTTCGACATTGATTTTTTTCCACTTGTTCCTCCTCTCTTCATTTGCTTCAAGAGTACCAACAGAGATCCATTCCTTGTGATGGTACTTCTTGTGACCCAGAACTTCGTGACATGTTGAAGTGTTTGCCTCTTTAATTCCTTTCCAATCGTTCTCCGATGATGTTTCCGCTCCATTGAGTAGATTCTGTAAGGCCTGGAACCTATTGGTGAGTGCTCTCTGGAATTGGTTGAGTTTTACGATATGCCGAAGAAAGGCCGTATTAAACTTCTGTGATGTTGTCTGCCCCTTTGCCCAGTGCTTCTTTAGTTTCAGTTTCATTTTGGCCACCAGCAAATGGTGATCTGAGGCTATGTCAACTCCTCTCTTGATTCTCACATCCTCCATGTTCCTTCTGAACCTTTTATTGATACAGATATGGTCAATTTGATTTTGAGTAGTGTGATCCGGTGAAATCCATGTGGCTTTGTGCATGCGTTTGTGTGGGAATATTGTGCCACCAATGACCAGTTTGTTGAAGGCACATAGGTTTGCAAATCTCTCACCGTTTTCGTTCCTTTCTGCCAGTACATGTCGTCCCATTATGTGTTCATATCCAGTGTTGTCCATTCCAACCTTGGCATTCAAGTCTCCCATAAGAATCGTCAAATCCTTTGGTGAGCACCTGTCGACGATTGACTGCAGCCTTTCGTAGAATTGATCTTTATCGTCGTTATTGTAGTCATCGGCTGGTGCATAGCAACGGACGACGTTCATTGTTATGTCGTCTTTCTTTGTTTTGAAGGATGCTTTAATGATCCTAGGTCCGTGAGATTCCCATCCTTTCAGTGCCTTTTGTGCTTGTTTTGATAGCATCAGTGCATCAGTATCAGTTGTCCTACCTGTACCGAGTGTTTCACTGATGCCGAGCACCTCGAGGTTGTATCTCTTCATTTCTGCCGCGACTTGAAATAGTCTTTCAGTCTCCCACAATGTACGAACGTT